AATCCCTAAAGTGTAGAAGCAGACCATTTGGTCCATTGAGTCCATACTGACCCTCTGAACAGCATCCCATCCAGATCCACAACTCCTACCCTAATCCAGTAACCCTGCATTGCCCATGGCTAATCCACCTAGCATGCACATCCCTGGGCACTATGGGCAATTTAGCATGGACAGTCCATCCAAACTGCACATCTTTTGGACTGTGGGAGAAACCCAGAGCACCCAGAGGAAACCCACACAGACACGGGGAGAACGTGCAAACTCCACACAGTCACCCTAGGGTGGAATCAAACCTGGGTCCCTCGCACTGTGAGGCAGCAGTGCTAACCACTGAGCCACTGTGCCCACCAAGCACTAGCTCTGAAAGCACAAGAATGCATGTAAAAGATTAATCACACTTGCAAGATTTAAAAGACTTTAGAAACTAGACCAATCTTTTGTTAGGAGAACTTAAATATGTTGAAATTGTTTACATCTAAATTTGGCAAAAATACGCTTATTAATCAAAATTATTCTATTGAAAAGTTTGAGGTAAAAAGACTTACTATGGGTTTTACCACATTGGGTTTGTACACACCGATATTTAACACACTTGTCTTTGGTGGTGTTTTCTGAGGATTTACAGTGCTAATCTGAGCACTGAAATGTGACAGGGAAAAATATCAAAAATCGATTTTTAACCAACATTGAGTTGCAGGCTTTGGTCAGCAGGTGGCACCATAATATGTTTCCTCACAAAACATTCCAAACATTTTTGAAGAACTTTTAGTGCTCGTTTTGGCCTCTGCGTCTGGGATTTTTAAAGTCCAAAATAAAGATTTCTCCAAAATTTAATAAATAGTTTTAATGTATTATTAGAATTGGCACTTAATGCCTGAATTAAATTCTTTCTCTTGGGGGCCAAAAGTCTGAGCTTGAAGCTGATACCTTCATTTGGAGCTGTAATTCTGAGCTGCATTTGGAGCTGTAATTCTGAGCTGCATTTGGAGCTGTAATTCTGAGCTGCATTTGGA